CAAACTGACATATGTTGCCAAAAATATGTTAGAAGGTACAAATACCTCCCACCTACCTCCATCTATCAAGCTGAAGAAGATGCTGACCACCAAGCTGTTTAGTGGGCCACTTCACTACCAAACAAAACCCTGTCTATCAACATCTACAGTGATTCTCAGTCTGTCCTAAAAGCTTTATTGAATCCCAATTGCAATAGCAATAAAATCTCATATATCCAGCACCATATTAAAAATCTTGTAAATAAGATAACTTTTATATTTGTTCCAGGCCATACTGGCATACTAGGAAATGAAAAAGCCGTCTTTGAGGCTAAGTCAGCTGCAAAAGACACTGATTTGGACTACACTCACACCCCTATCTCACGTAGCAGCCTTAAAAATTATATTCATGACAATGTTATGCAAAAGTGAAATCAACAATGGTTGAGCAGTAAAACTAGTAGAATAACAAGACTATACTTTCCTAGTGTTGAATACAGGTTCTCATCACCACTTAAAAATTTAACGTTTGCTACTGCTCAACTACTTACTCTAACTACTGTACTTATCCTAATAAAAAACAAGAGAGAGAAACCACCACACGGCCTTTCTCCCATGACAAAAAATGTGCAGAGCGTGAATCTGCTAGCATTATTACTATACCATGTCACACGAGACAACGAGCATTCTTAATAGAAACCGCCAAATTAAAGCCAAATTCAAAACGCCACCACTTAACGAAATTCAAAAATAATAAGAAAAATATTACGTAAGACGAGATCTATAACCCCCTACCCCTGAGTAAGAAATCGTAAGAAATCCTTGACCCCACCCACCCCAAAATGCTTTACGTAATTTATGGATTGCCCCAAAGTAGCAGATCACGACTTTCTTATTGCTTGAAAAGAACCATAAGCCTATGAAAAAGTCAATACATGTCATGAGATGAAATACTGAGGAAAAATATTTTATGAAGTTTTCACTTATCGATGCGCTTATTTGGGCAATAGCAAAAGAACCAATGAAGCCAAGAGTAACGAAGAATACAGTGGTAAGAGAAAACGCAAGACATACTTTAAACGGTAAATGTGAACATCCAAAGACGGTGTTCTTTGATGCAGGATGAGCAAGGAAACGACGGACAAAAGGATTCCATACTCGAAAAATATATATTCGTTCCATTTGTCGTTTATTTCTTGAAGGAAATCGCATAACTCGACGTGCTTAGAAATGATTTCGTTGACATTTCTTTTCAGCCCTACAGAATTTATTTGTTTTAATTCGACAGACAAGACATCAAATCTTTTTCCAATGGCAATTCCAATTATCATACTAACAGAAAAAAATTAACACCATATAGAATATTTGAATATTAAGCATAGGTTATTGTATACAACGCAGAATACGGCCCTAGTATAACTTGTTGGATTTTGGAAACGTTGGAGAAGAATTGGGTTGGTAAGAGCTGTTGAAGCAAATAGTTTATTATGACAATAGTGGAAACTTCGACTGGAAACTGGCAACAAACTTCTGTCTGCCATCTAGTAATTCGAAAAGATAACTACATTTATTCAATTGGTATCGCGTTTATAAGTAGACCTTTTTGGATATTAACATAAAGTTTTGAACTCATTATATCTCACAATAATTAGAATGCCGGAAGAGGTGTTATTTGTGCTATGCATGGCTGTTTGAATTAATATGATATAAAGTGATCTCAAGTCATTATACAGACTTCCTAAAAACCAACAAATGCAAGTAAATTAATAAGTAATTTGATCACGTAAACTCGAAATTGATGCATTATGTATTTTATTACGAAGATTAGTTTATCCTAATAGACTCGATGATACTTCTGTTTTGTTGGGGAGATCAAAAAATGAACTTTTACGATTTGTGCATAAAACAGTAAATATCATATACAATAGCCATTCTAAATTGTTATTGAATCAAAAGGTGCTCCTTTGACAAATTGTTGAAAGTTCATAGATGGAACGGCAAATCTTATTCGTCAATCAGAAACAGATCAAATGGTGGTATTCAGTGGCCATAAACGTATACATTGTTTGCAATTTCAATCAGTTGTTACACCCGATAGTATAATTGCTAATTTATTTGTCCGAATAGAAAGAAGACATCACGACATTGGAAAGTTAGGAGAATCTAATTGGTTAGAGCATTTGGCTCCAATTCCTTGTTCTGAGAACAGAGCCCAATTTGTTTTATATGGAGATTCTGGTTATCCTTTGCGTTAACACCTCATTACACTATTCCGAGGTGGTAGCTTAACACCCGAGCGACAAGTATTTAATTCCAGGATGAGTTCAGTAAGAGTGTGTGGAATGGGTATTTGGGAAAATAATTCAGATACTGTATATGCTTTTCTAGATTAAAAAAAATTGAAATTGTAACTTCAGCCTGTTGGTAAACTGTATATTGTTGGTGCACTACTTACAAACTGTCGCACTTGCTTATCTGGTAGTGCAACATCAGATTACAGTAGACTATCGATTATCCGAACCAATTCGGGACTGTGGTTGTTCAGAAAATTAGTATTTCGGATAAACGATTATGTACAAAACATATATTAACGTATCCCGTGTTGAAATTTTTCTTTGTTGCGTGTCGCTTCGCATTGAATTTTTGTCGATAACGTAACGTAAACTTTTTAATCGTGACATTTGTATCGTTAAAAATTGTTTTTTTATTTTGTACAAACGAAATAAATAAATTGAAAAATATGAAAACAATAAAAAATTATACTTCAGAAGTTAATTTAGTATAAAAACGTAAAATATTCGAGTAGCCCAAGACATAGCCAAAGACAGCACTGGCAAAAATTTAAATTTACCGTCTGAAATTCTTTCGGATAATTGACTTTCGGATAATCGACGCTCTACTGTGTTTTAATTGTTTACCCTTCAAATTGGACAAATACTTGAAATGTAATCAATAAATAAATAAAGAATTTTTTCAATTTTATAAAATTTTTTTTCAAGTTTTATTTAAAGTTTTCAAAAGTATTTCTAATAGCGTTTTTTTTTTCTAAACCAAATTTTTCTAAAAACACTCTTTTTTTTCTAACTTGGTTCAGTCTTGCTTTTGAAAAGTAAAGTATGATAAGCTATTTTATAAACACAGCTATAAAAATGTTATTGACACTTTCATAATTATTTGGGGTAGTTTTGGAGGTAAATAAGATAGATGAAAGAAAAACTAATTTAGTATTTGTTGAGAAAAATATGATTACATTTGTTGCATTAACTGGAGGACATAAATGGTAGTTTCAACAAGATAATGCTCTCATTCATGTTTCAATGTCAACAAAAAATTGGTTTAAAAAAATATTGTTGTAATATTAACTGGCGTTCATCTTGTCCACATTTAGATCCCATTAAAAATTTATAGGGGATTTATCAGCCATTGTTTATCAAAAGGAAAAACAATATGAATCTGTAAATCAATTAAAAATTGCAATAATGAATAGATGGGATAAAATTAAGAATGAACAATTAAAAAAGTAATAAACTCTATGCTAACAGAATTTTCAAATAATTCTGGCCAAAGAGAGTGAATCCAAATATTAAAAGACTTGAAAATACAGTATATTTAAAATTTATTTATATGTAATTTTAAAACGTGTTCCTATACCTTGGTAACAAGTAAAAACTGATAACTTATATTATTATTAAGAGCTAAAAAGCTTGAAAATGATATTTTTGTAATTGTCTTAAAACGTATGAAACTGTTTTCTAATAAAAAGTTAAATAAATTTTGAGAAAGCACAAATTTGTGGTGTTCTTATACTTTTGTATTGATAACATACTATATATCTGGGAAGCAAGATTGTTCTTAAAGTTGTTCTTTTCCGGCATCTTTTACTGTCGACAGTGTAATACGTCCGTAAATGTTCAGATGTACTTTTCCAAGCACCTTAAGAATTTTCATACGCATAGGAATTTACAGCCCTTACTTCTCTCAACAGAAGTATGTCGTGATAACAAGAAAAACGCATTGGAACTTTCCTAATGTTTCTCGAAGGAAACACGACGATAATTATAGTAAAAAATAATTATTTGGTGTTATTAAACCTCCTATAAATCCTTTTCAACAGTTTAATTTGTTTATTTACCTTTGCTGATAATCCTCCATGCAAAATGTATTTGCCATTTTTCCAACTTATTTTCTGTGAGCCAATGCGCGACGTTTACTAAGTCACGTGATGTTATGAATGGTCGCTTCAATGATTTTTACTTGGACTTTAAACCTCAAACGTAGCTCCTCAACCTCTTTAATATATGCAATTCTCAGTAGGAGAATTGCCTGGGGAAACCGCTTTAATACAGCTCGATATGAAAGCCGAGATATAAAGGTTAAAGAAGCTTCAAAAAACGAAGCTATACATTTGTTTTTATTTGCGGTTTATATCAGTTATATTATAAAAATTTATGTGAGGTTTAACAGATATAAAATTCTTTACAAATTTAAAACAGTGTCTTCTTGTTTTCTCTATTTCGTGAAGAAATATTACATAAGACATATTTTAAATTATCTAAGTTGCGAAACTACAATAAAACAAGGGTAAGAAGCTAAAATCTAACATGTCAAAATCGAAGTTTTTTTAACTTCAAATTTTGTGGTCAGATTTTCTTTATTTCTCAAGTAACATGTTTTAGATACTAATGTTAAGTTAAATACAAAATGTGCTTAGGTCAGGTCTTAACATTTAACGTAAGGTCTGCTTTTAGTTTGGTTACTGCTTCATTCATTTAATACATGAAACATGAAGATGAAAATTTACAGAAATCAAATATACTGAAATTACCGAACACTGAAACGAAAGAATCAAAGATTTAAGTGTAATAATTAAAGAAAAATAACCATTCTAAAATACTGTACGAATTAGTACGTATAGGAGGAAAAGTTTGCAACCGAGTATTAGCTTTAATTTATATTAATTTGATGAACAAAAAATCTCTTTATAAAATTTTAAAAATTTACTTTAGACATTTATTTCCAGTTTAACAGCATTTTACAGAAATTTATCAGCAAAGGTAACAGAAAAATTCATTAAAATTACAGGAAAAAATTTCCAAACTACATTAAAATGTAAAAAAAAAATTACTCGTTACATTTAACAAGTAGAGCATAAGTACCGATTATCCTAACATTTGTCTATACTTTTTTCTTAGCGATTTACATATCGGCGGAACAATACAGGATAAACAACAGAAATGCGTACGATTGAAAAACATCCTGCTTGCATCGACGGATACTGCACGTTTCGAGTTGAAGGTTCCTCTTGCATCGATGGTTCTTGCACGTTTCGAGTAGAAAAACTCGCTTGCATCGACGGCTCCTGAACGTTTAGAGTTGAAAAACCTGCGTGCATCCATGGTTCTTGCACGTTTCGAGTAGAAAAAACTTTCTCGCATCAATGTTTCCTGCACGATTCGAGTTGAAGAACCCGCTTCCACCCATGGTTGTTGCACGTTTTGACCAGAAGAACCAGTTTGAATAGATAGTTCCTGCAAGGGTTGAGTAGGGGTTGTAAAAATCTCGTGGTCGTTGTTGTGCTGCAATAGTTTTTCTTCAGTTGTAAAATCTGCAAAACAAGCTGTACATTTACACGGTTTCCTTTCATGCATTTTTAGATGAACAAGAAAAGATTTTTTAGTTTTCAAACCTTTAGAGCATTCTCCACACACATAAGGTTTCGCTTCTAGGTGGATGCCATTCATGTGTTCTAGTAAAGCTTTTTCAGTTACAAATCCCTGTCGGCAGACTTTGCACCGGTGTTTGTCCATTGAATGATTTAATTGATGAGAACGGTATATATATTTATCATGAAAAATCACATCACACATAAGGCATCTATAAACCATTTTTCTTCTTGGAAAATCTGTAAAACCGTGAAATCACTGCATTGTAATTACAAATAAAAATTTTAAATAATGTTTTCAAAACTAATGTAACACTAAACAATGAAACAGCGAAAATAGAAACAAATTAAATTAGTCATTTAAAGTTATGAAGGTTCAGAACAAAAAATAAATGCACTTTACATGTAGAATTAATTTTCGTAAAAATGAATAAAAAAAAGTTTCGGAAATAAGGGAATTTATATGTCGAAACTTCTTCAGTCTTAATTCTTACAGATGAAGTACACACAAGCTAACAAAAACCTATATTAAAGTTCTTTAATAATAGTAGGAAATAAATATAAGAGTTAAGTAATATAAGTTTTAATTTAACACTTAACTAAAAAATAAATACTTTGTACACCAACTTAGTGAAAAAACGTAAAACTGCTCTTTTCAGAATATTTATTTTCTGAAAGAATTTCCTTTATTACTAGGTGGACTGATAGAGAGTAAAACTAACTACACAAAACTCGTGTTTAGATATTAAGTTTAAACGTTCACATCAATAAATCAATAATATTAAAATTTAAACTTAAAATTGGTTTTAATATCTAAACTAGAAACATCCACTTTAACTGCATTCGTTCAGAGTGGAGAGAAGCAGAAAGCGAAAAAACAAGCTTAATTGTCTGCTTACGATGCTATTTATTATAAATATGTACAAATTGTACATCATTATTTTATTTACACATCGCCTTATCTATTCTACTTAAAAACCTATCATTAAAAATATATTAATTAAGAAAAAAATTTTAAATTTTCGAGTAGAACAGATTGGATGAGAAAAAGTAATGTTTGGGAGTCATTGACATTTAATTCTAAAATATAAATTAATGTCATACATACCTAAATTCTTTCGTAATTACGACGTACCAAGCTGAGAGTTCTTTCTACACAAGAGTTACTTCATCTACCGTTTAAATAACCATAGATGTTTTTAAATTGTGTTTATAAAGAATGAGTAAAATCTTAATTTTTCGTAAATAAACTACAGATTATTTTTAAATCGGTTTTTATGAAAAAATTAATAATGTTTTAAGATTTTTCTTAAATGATTAATATATTATTAATTTACATAATTATTTTTCTGACCTGTAGAGTGTTGAACTCAACTCGTAAATACAACGAAATTTATTTATTTGTTAAAATTATTTTAAAAATATATTTTTAAATAAAATATTTTTATATTACATATTAATTGATTGAAAAGATTTATTCAAACGAAAAGAAATTATTTACGTTAAAATTGCTTTAGTTCAATGTTATTCAATTTTGAGGAAACTTTGCATTCTGCAGTAATTTTCTGATTTAAAGTCCGACGAGTGTTCCTTCTTTAAGCTTAATTTTGAAAAAAAATTTGTTTAAGTAATTTGAAATTAGCGCTATCTTAATCCAGTGCATTCACGATTGTTTTCATTAATCCAAGTTTTATGTACAGTGAAGAGAACAAGACTTTTTTGGGATGAACTAGAAGTATATATTGTATGTTAGCTTGAAACAAACAGAAAAAATTTCCTTTTCTCTGAGCCATTCTATCAATTTAAAGGGTCCACACTGGCCAACGAGTGGGCAAGCAGTTATGTCCCACGAACACTAGACGTTCTGTAGTGGGTTCGTGTCTTGCCATGACGGACTGGCCACGTGGTGTTTTCCGGATTTTCTGCACGTCTGTAATGCCTGAGTAAAAACCAGTTACCCTCAAAAAGATTTTTTTCGAAAGGCATTATTTCTCGCGTTACTACCACAAAACTATTATTTTACTGACAATTCCATCACACTTTATCACGGGGCGATATTGTTTCAAAGCTCATACCAAAATAACTACTACATGACAAGATAAAAAGTTCAGCATATAGTTTTTATTTTATTTAAAATTCATTTTTATTGTAGAATTATTTAAAATCAAATATGACAATAAGATCAATAGAAATTACAAAAAAATAAATTTTCAAATAACAATAAAATTTTTAAAAAGTTTCTTTTGTAGGTATTTTTGCATGGCATATTATTAAAACTGAATATATTTTTAAAATTTGTATTTCAGTTAAAATTTTGTATACAGACATTTAATGTTTCTTTTCTATTTTTCTTAACTTAATCGTGATTTCTTCACCTGAAATGTATTTGGAGAAAGACAGTAATTATGAAAACTGAGTGGTGATTGAGCAGACGATGGTCCCGCATGCATTTCCTTTTCATCTAGAGTTGTAGTTGAGGCCTTTGCTTTTTTCAAATGAATCTTTTACTTTTACTTGAACTTTGTCCATCATCAAGAGTTCGACTTGTAGATGGAAGACAGTAATCATGGAAGCTGAACGCACTTTTAGATGTTGAATGGCCTGGAACTGCTTGTATTTCTTTTTTCTTCGAACTCACAGTTGAAAAAAGACCTGCTTGCATCTGTTTACCATCTGGAGTTTTAGAGGTAGATAGAAGAGAGCAATTACCATAGCTGAGAGGGGATTGATTTGAAAAAGAGCTTGTTTGCATTTTTTTTTCTTCTTGAGTTTCAGTTGAGGCCTTTGCTTCTCTCAAATTCTCTTAAATTCTCTTATTATGAAGCATATAGTTTGCTTTTTTACTAAATCTTTTATTACAGGTAACACAAAAATAATAAGATTTCTCAGTATCATGAATTTTTTGTGTTTTATTAAGTTGTTTATTGTCCAGACACCGAGAACAAAGTTCACATAAAAATTCTTTTTTAGCTGTATGCAATTTTTGATAATGAATCAAATTTGATTTATATTTGAATCCAGTACCGCATTGTTCACATCTGTACGGTCATCACACATAAGGCATCTATAAACCATTTTTCTTCTTGGAAAATCTGTAAAACCGTGAAATCACTGCATTGTAATTACAAATAAAAATTTTAAATAATGTTTTCAAAACTAATGTAACACTAAACAATGAAACAGCGAAAATAGAAACAAATTAAATTAGTCATTTAAAGTTATGAAGGTTCAGAACAAAAAATAAATGCACTTTACATGTAGAATTAATTTTCGTAAAAATGAATAAAAAAAAGTTTCGGAAATAAGGGAATTTATATGTCGAAACTTCTTCAGTCTTAATTCTTACAGATGAAGTACACACAAGCTAACAAAAACCTATATTAAAGTTCTTTAATAATAGTAGGAAATAAATATAAGAGTTAAGTAATATAAGTTTTAATTTAACACTTAACTAAAAAATAAATACTTTGTACACCAACTTAGTGAAAAAACGTAAAACTGCTCTTTTCAGAATATTTATTTTCTGAAAGAATTTCCTTTATTACTAGGTGGACTGATAGAGAGTAAAACTANTGCTAGTAAAATTGTCATTAAGTCTGGCCCTACTGGAGATACACATGACCCTCGTTATCTCTTCACTCCCTCAATCCTTAACCACTATAATTTAATATTAAGAATTAAATCGAATATAATATTAGCAATATTTAAAGTAAAAGTACCCGTTTTTACTGAATTTATTCAAAGTGCAAAGCAGCTGTAAGCAAAGTAATGGATCTTTGCTTCTTACACATGTAAGCAGCTAAATATCCATTTCTTTGTTACGAGCTACAACCATACAATAGATTTAAAGGTGATTTAACAATTGTAAAATTAAAATGAAATTGATAAAAAAATTTATTTTACAGCCAATTAGTCTTTCAGAAAAATAAATTTGATTAGATAATAAAGGAGTTTCATATTAGAAAAGTTTGGGAACATTAACATATTATTATTATTATTATTTTAAAAGAAATTATTAATTTAGAGCGTCGATTATCTGAATCAATACTTTTAAAAGTATTTTTCATACGTACACAACTTTATCTTCATTTACAAAACAGGAAATTCGATCTTTATTGGAAATGTGTTTATGATGAATGAATAAAATTTCGAATTTATATTAAAGCAGTAGAACAGGAAACAACTTGGATGTGGGCTCTCCTCTGTTCTGTTTTTATTCATTACATAATGATTTTGCAATTAGGCCTACTTAAGTGGCTCATTACTGCAGTGGTATTAGTAAGCATAATGATGTACGAAAGATTTAATGCAATGTCGCGGCAGTTAAATTTGGCTGTAAGACAAAATGCAAAATATGAAATTAACGAAATAATGAGAAAACATTTGGAAATCTGCGAATTAATTAATGAAATCAACGATATCTGAGAAAATTTTTACTTTGTTATTTATGGAATCGCCGTTTATATCGTATCGTTCTGTTTATACAACGCAATATTTACTACGTCAGCTATATACATACGAAAATTTCTTGTACTTTACTCTACTCTCTGCATATATTTGTTTATATCGATTTTGTTTGTGGTTTCTCATATCTTCACTTCGGCAAGTTCGAAATAAAATAATTATCAAATATTAAATTTAGTTAAGTGTAAAATAAGTAATTCTCTATCTATTTACAGTAGTGTAAGTTGATTAGTACACTTAAATTAAATTATTATTTACGAACAACAGGCTTATGATTCATTTCAAGAAATTCAAAAATTCAATTTGATTCCTCTTCCTTTGAAAGTCAGTCTCAAGGTAAGTTGAAATTGCAAATTATAAAATTAAAAATGCTGAATTCATCACGTTTAAATTATTGTCAGGCGTTGAATTTTATGAAAAAATTTCGAGAAAATAAAATTGGAATCAGTTGTGAAACATTTTTTTATTCTTTCTACAAAATTTCCAATTCAGGTATTTATATAAGATTAGAATGGTTGATTGTATGAATGTTCATAACATTTAAAGTAATTTATAAATAAATTTTTCAAATATTCATGTAATAAAGTATTTTCATTGCATAGGTGTACCAATCGCTGCATAACATTTTTTAATATATTACTTCAGATACGAGATATTTTTGAAGGAATTGACAAATCATGTATACCAGTCACAAAACCATTAAGTAATTGAGAGGTTGCGGTCGACGTTTTCAACGCGAAATCGTGTACGTCGGACGTTCAGCGCCGCGTTCCTATAAGCCTAGAAGTTTGACAATGGTGTTTAGATAGTCAATGGAATCATGCTCGACATTCTAAACACCATTGCCAAACTTCTAGGCCTGTAGGAAAGCGGCACTGATTATCCCGTTACGTCACGTACACTTTATCCCGTTCAAAACGTCAGCCACAACCTCTCTAATGCTATTATAAGTTTGAACGTGTACTAGAATACCGTGTAATGTAGAAGAATTTACACGAATAGCAATATTGGCTTATATGAATTGTATACATTTGATTTATTTTCGAACAATAGATTCGTAAACTTATGCAGAAACGTGTCCTCTGCAGAAGAAGCATGTTAATCAGTCATTACGTCACGATCTCTCGTATCAGTATAGACTAGCATTTAGATTGCTACATCGATCGTAATGAGTGGTTTACAAATTTTGAATTAGGAAAATTATTATTTTTTTTATTTTTCTCAATCCAACTTCGAATTGTTCTTTACTTTTTTTTAATATGTATAGGCGACTAGAAAATTTATTTATAATTTTTTTTATTTACAAATTAAAGTACCACTCACTTTTTAAAACTCGAATTTTTATGTAATAAATTAGAATGTTTATTTTTTTAATGTTTTAATAATTTTTCAATTAAAGTTTCATAAACAGAGAATTTATGTTATTTTTTATTTACTGAAATATAAATTAATATGTTGTAAAATTAGCTATAAAATTTCTGAAAATTATATGGACTGCAAGTTTTTAATGATGATTTATGCAAATTATTCAGCAGTTCATTTGTCTGAAGCTAAAGAATAACAAGAGGACTGATTGTAATTCAAAAGGTGCATTGTGTATAGTTTCAGGAGAGAATCGCCAGCTTAAACAGAAACTAAAGGAATATTCAGGGTTCTTAGCAAGCACTAGCCATGCGACCCTACGAAGTTATCGTTTAAAAACCTTTTTCGCCCTTCAAGAGACTGTTTTCTGGTCTATCCGAACGATAAAACAATAGTAATAAA